ATGCGGCAAATATTTATTGGGATGGCTTATACAGGGTTTCTAAAGTACGTCATCACTGCGACCATTGATTTATTTGAACGTGATTGTGTACCGTCATTTGTTCCTTGTTTACGTATTTGTATGATCGTATAATATAAGTAATTTATTTATGTGTAATTATTATTGACTATGTATCGCTCACGTAGTACTGATAACATAGTATTGCGAATCCACGAACCAATTGCGCTTTTAGATTTTAATATTTTTATGGCCCACATTTATTCCTCTCGTAAATTTGGAAGTCATTTGTGGTTGTCTATGTGTGTGTCCGTGGCACCTGCGGTACCGGGTTTCCCTAGTGCGTGGCTATGAGTGTGCGCGCGTTATTTATTTAATCAAAGTTGATTAAAAAAACTGCACCGTATTTGGTGACCTGAGTGAGTATTTTATGTTTTTGAAATGGGGCGCTTCTCTAGAAAACCATCGAGATGTATGTCATCCACAAGACTTTTTTGAATGAAACGGCGTAATGTTCGAAATTTAAATTCGAGGTTAGAGATAATTTATGTTAAGAGCTCTCATGCCAAACAAGTTTTGACGTTGGCTCCGCCCAAATTTGTGAAACAATTATATGCCTGAAGTTCGCGTGACATGCGACAGGAGATGTTGAATTTTGCGCATTAAAAGCACCAAAATCGTTTCAGCGGAATAACTCTAAAACTAAAGGGATTAAAAAAAATCCGTAGTGACAGTTGTCGATCATGCATAAATATAATTTATTATCTAATTTTTGTCCTAATAACCTGTAGCATTTCGAGGATAAATCGAAAAAATGTGAAAATTAGAGGTCATTTCGTGATTTTTATCTATCGAGGAAACTTTATTGTTTTATGTTTCTGATTAATGTCTATGCTTGAATATATCGTGTAGTTATTCATACAATATTTTATTTTTAACTTTAAAGTGGATATACCCCTCTAAAATCAAATCGAAGATTAGGAATTTTTCCTCTGCTCCCTCTTAAGAAGTACTTCAGTTTGATAAAAAACTAATTTAAAATCTGAAGATAAGAACTTGTGGCAATAATGATATGTGTCTTCGGTATATCCGCATACACAAGTTTATGGTCGTTTTGCATACTTTACGCTAAGAACGGATTGTTTTTAAGATTATTTTACGAATCGATTTCTTAAAATAAAATAATTATGACGTAAGGAAAAATATTTGTGTATTCAAAGCTTATCGTTGCTATGTATTTTACTGTCACACGAAAATTATATCATGAACCCTGACTTTATAGTGGTGGTCGCTAGTGAAAGCTGTTTTGGGAGACAAGCATGAAATAAATAGAGTTTGGATGAAAATTGAAATGAACAGTTTATTCAATACAAAGTCGATGGTTTGCTAAATCATTACTATCAACAACCCGAATAACAACTTGTCCCTAGTGATCGTGTAAAATGTTAGTCAGTCACAGCAAAAAAAAAAATTATGTATAAATATTTTACGATGGTAGTGACCTAGAAAACGATTTCAGAAGACCGTCGTCTCTGAAACGGAAAGTCAACAAAAAGATAGAAGTATATGTATATTTTCATAAATTACCTAGGTATGCATTTAAGTGCTCCACAAAACTACGTTATAGTTACGGCCATCGTCTGCCTTACCTAAGAGGACTATTGCTTCCTAACACCATTTATAATTGTACCATTAGCACCCGAATTTCCCATCACTGACGAAAATATAACTGTACCAATTTTGATCGTGTGCCTACTAGAGGGCGCCATGATATTGATTGCACCCGGGCACCGGGTACATGCTTTAGCGTGGGCAACGCGGGCAGCGCTGCTTTAGGTTAACCACACGGAGTTTTGTATAAGCGCCTGTCACTTTGTGCATCTCTAACTCCTAATTGCTTTCATAGGCATGTGTATTTCTGCAGGCGCATTCGTCATTATTTTGTAGATAACTTCTTAGATTGGAGATTCACCTTCTGTTGAACAAATAGACTATAATCGTCATATATAGAGCAATTATAAAGTACAAACCTTAAGTTTTGTTACTGCAACTTATTTTTAATATGCCAGTCTTTAAGGTGCCTACAGATTTGTTAGATTATTGACGTTCGACACGTGTCGATGTACGAACAACGGCACGTCAGACCACACATTTTTGTTCGAAATTCGTCTCCAGTGCAACGGAACTAGATACGTTAATGTGTAGCTTGATAAGCTAGCGTGTGTACAAAATAATATACTTCTTACGCATTTATTCCGCTTTGCCTGATCACACATCTTAATCGACAAAAAATACGATATCGATCCTCTGCAGCTTACAAATTTCCTCGTTTTGTTTGATCACATGTGTCATCAAAAAATCGAGCAAATGTGTAGGCACTTTAATGCCGTCGATATCTATTGCATGGTAACGCGTGGACTGTAAGAGACTGTAATTTTTACTGGTTTTACTCTATCTATGTCAGTCCATTGACTTTCTTGTCTAAAAAGGAGTGTGCATGTTACATTTTAGTTACAGTATGTATTCGAATGGCGTAAGAATGAAACGAAGAATTAGCACGATAGCGTAATAGATAATTGATCGATTGAACTTCCTCGATTTTTGACTAACGTAACGTAATCCATCATTATGTATGGGTATCCTGTTTAGCCTGGAACTCCATCTGCGGACATGCAATACATTGAAGTCAGATATAAAAAAAAAACAAACAAACAAATTCATCAACTTTGTGGAAATTTCTTAACAAAAAAATGTAAATTCCAATTATTTTGACTGCTTGGTATACGGATGTACAATTTTAAATTCATGACAACACATGATAACAAGGTATTAACAATATTTTTTTTAACTCCCCTAAAGGATGTCTTGTTTTTGAGTTTGAAACAATTCAACTTCCGCTGTACCCAATTTATTACTTTTATTACATAATTATATTAACTTAAACTATTTATTTATTGCATAGGACACTGCAGAAATAATGAATTAAAAGTATCTAGTAGACTCGATATTTTGCACATTATTTATTTTCATTAAAGTATGTAGAGGTATACTAACATTATGTACTTAAAAATATAATTATGTATTGTTATTATTATTTGGTACTAAATCATTTAATAAGTAGCAGTAGAGCTCCTTGTGAAAGAGTTCGTCCAGGGAAGTACTGCCATCTTACCTATTTCTGCCGCCAAGCAATAATGTCAGCATTACAGGGTTCCGGTTTTGAAGGGTAAGGGTGCTGGTGAAATTACAGGCACATGAGACTAGTCAAGTTACGTCTGAGGGTGGCGCAGTGACAGTGCCCCTCACATCTTTGCGATTAAAAGCTCTGAGTGGCATTGCAACTGTTATGGACCGGCGTGTAGTTTACCATCAGGCGCACGACTTGTCCGTCCCGATATTATTGCGTATTTTTTGTTTTTATCGTCGTAAGAGTGTTTTTTAATGAACTTACAAGTTTCAAATATGCAAGTTAGTGTCGATATGCTAAGGTTGCAATACTTGAACTTACGAGATATCATTTGGTCTATGTTAGTTATTATCCTTATACATTTCTTTAGGAATTTGTGCAGATTCCACATACGATGATCCCGTAGCAAAGTCGGATTTTAGTGATGGATGAAAATAAAAATACAACCTATAATAAAATTTTAACAACTCGTTTATTTAATAACGAACACCTTAACTAGTAATAAATAGAGTAAGGTCGTTAGTCTATTTACAGTGTATTTATAGATGTCGAGGTTTTTACCTGCTCGTTCTTCATTGGTGGTTGTAATTATTTATTTCTACGCATGTTTGATACATTCTATTTCGTCTATTCCATAGAATGAAACGAATACAATGAAATGAGTATGTACATTATTTTAGTTTTACATTCTGCATCTTAATATTCGAGTTGCGAATATTCTGCAAAGTGTTAAATATTTACACGAGTATATTAGTAGGGGCACTTTAAATTGACAGTAAGTATATGACAACGGAATTAAATGTTTCATATTTATTTGCTAAATACAAAAGTAATCATTTCTTCAAGAATTGGAAGTGAAATTAAATTGCTAAATTAAAGCTTACTTAGTATGCGAAAACGACAATGGCGCAGACGCAGACTTCGTTGTTAATTTTAACAAGAGAGCTCAATTCACAATAAATATTGAGTGTTTGCATTAATCGCTATACAAATTTCTTGGCCATATGTTTGACGCTTCTAATTTTATTGCATTAAAACACAATTTCGTATGTCAAAATATGCTGCAATAGGTAAGTAAATTTGTTTGGGCACTTTACACGTGTACGAAATATCCTTTACGGCAAACACAGACTTTTGGTCAAGGTGAAAATGTTTCCTAACATTTTTTTGATTATGTTTTGATAGACAATATGTGCTAACCTAAACAATGCTCAATTTAGTACAGTGGAGAGTTCAACTGCAGATCTGCGTCATCTATAGGCTTGATCTTAATACTTCAGACGGTACTTATTTTCAATAAAATATCCAAATTACATTAACCGAATTTCAAAACTGTCATTTGCAATAACATGCTCACACGTGGCGCAATTTCAATCGAATAACTCCAGGGGGTAGATTCAGAACGTCACGATAACTCAGTTGTCGGCCGGTTTTTTTTTTTTTCATTTTTATTCTCAACACCCGAATCGAACGTCAAATTGTCGTATTGGAAACCGAACCGAAATGACGTCACACCCGTACGATTACTCGAACTTCTCGACCGGCAAAGGATACAAACGTTATTCAGAACACAGTTATCGAATGAAAGTTACCGAACGTCCTATTGTTTACAAAGCAAGAATGTAATATAGAAATCTCTTATTATTTTAAATAAGTCTGGATTTTGTTCAACTTTATTACTTTATTTCAATGCAAGATTAATTGCATTCCTATATTTTTAACCGACTTCAAAAAAAGGAGGAGGTTCTCAATTCGTCTGCATGCTTTTTTTGTATGTATGTTACGCGATAACTCCGCCATTTGTGAACCAATTTTGATTATTCTTTTTTGTTGGAAAGAAGGTACCTCAGATGTGGTTCCATTTAAATTTCAAGAAAATATTCTACCTCAAAGGGTGGCAAACTAGGGGATGAATGACTTTGGAGGTCGGTTTTTTAACCGAAGGTTACGTTATAGGCCTTTGAAATCTTTAATTTATAATTTTTAATTTTTCTTATAATCTATTTCACCGACTAACTTTGTAAACGCCGTTGGACTCGGGAATGTTCTGAATAGCTCAGAAAGCGCCCTTCGATTCGAGAACAATATCCAATCGAACGATTCGGTTAAAATATCGAAGAGTTCTGAATTGGGGTCCTGGTATTCTTAAATTTCAACAAATTTTGTGGAAATTGTGTAATAACTTAGAGTAAGTTATTACACAATGTATGCAGACAACAAGGACTATGAACATTTATGAAGAATTTTTTTAATTTAATATAAATATATTAACTCATTTATTTATCATCAGAGGCAGTTGCCTCTGTGGCCGAACAGTTACCATGCTGGTCTGCTACGTTCTGCGAGGTTCCTGATTTGATTCCAGGCCGGAAGAAATATTTGTATAGCCTACATTTATTTCTCTCGTGAGTTTTGGTGTTTGGGCTGAGCTATGAATGTGTGCTATTTTATAATTATTCAAAAATGTTATTTGAGTTTACGTGTGAATGTAATAACATTCGTCACTGTACACGAGACAATACTATGAGGTATTCTTTTGATCACATGACTAATTTCAAGTGGTTTTTGTAGTCACAAAACACGTAGCTACAAAACTCAGAAATGAAATAGTTTCATACAAAATGTTTATATCCATCCATTTACCACATATGTGAATGGAACAGCTAGTTTTCTCCCACTTTGTTAAGGGTTTCAATAGTGAAAGATGTTTATTTTGAAGAATGTCTTATAATCTATACGTTCAAAAGCGCTTAAATTTGGTTGTTTAATTTAGGTCATTCTGCGTAAAGTGCCTTATAAATTTTCTGATTCATGGCCATAAAGTTTACTACGGACAATACCTATCTAATCTGAGACTAGTATAGCGAAGAAATCGTCATCAGTCTTCCCCCTTGAGGGTCCAGATTTGCTCCTTCTGAAGGCAGCTGTTCCTACTCCCTTGCTGCGGCCTACGAAGCTCGGGATGGGAAAATCAGGGACTCCACGGTGTCGGATGTCGAGAAGGCCATCGCCAAAAGTCGCCTGTATTGCAAAAAAACTGATAGGTTATTTAATCATCGGACGATAAGTGACAGCAAATTCATTAAGTTGTGCTGCGAAATTGATTTATTTAATGAATCGAGTTCTTATTTCATGAAGTTAATGCTGCTCTCATTACACTTGTCTGATACGACGTAGCATGTCGTTTGACGAGGCTGTGACCTCTAAAGATTAGCTTTGTACATCTTTGAATACATACAACATCTTTGTGGCCAGTCCGCGGAATTAATCTCCCGTCAGTAACGAATAAGTATAAAAGATGTTAACGACCATTGTATACCATAAGGGGCGGGGAATAGTTGTACTTCATCAAACAACTATTGTTTCGCTGTTTAGCCTGCATTATTGTTTTTAAAATCACTAGTGTAGGTTGCTTAAACAGAGCTCGTCTGCGCTCCATTGTGGTAGAGAATAACACTTCTACTATTTGGTCTATATTCCCTTCAGGCGTACTAAGCGCTTTTTGCCATCGTTTAATATGCGCGCTACCCAGGAATGGAATTCCCTGCCTGCGATTGTGTTTCCGAGCATATACCACCTAAGTAGATACTCGCACCTTAAAGATTTAAGGTGCGATTGAAAAGGCATTTTCCATTTATATAGGTATTTAAAAAATGGGCCTCATTTCAGACTTATTACGGCAATACTGTTTACAGATTTACCTGAGGCTGGAAGCCGTACAGCGAGTTGAAGCCAAAGGCCGAGGATGCGCTCTGGCTGCCACTGCTGCCACCAAACGCGGCGGCTTGAGACGCGGCGCCGGAGAGAGAACTGCCACCAGCTCCGAAAGATGCGGCTTGGCTGCTCGCTTGACTACCGCTGAATCCACTGGTATTAAATTGAAAGACTTTGTAAATAAGCACACCTTATCAAGAGAGAAATAGTCATTTGCAAGTATTACTTATTTACACATAATGCATTCAAAGCAAGTATATTATCTTTGTTTTAAATAATTATTAAGTTTATTGCCATCCCCTTTTTATAATAAGTTAAAGAACTTTTACTAAAGAGAGGAAAGTTTTTGAGAAACAATATTCCATAATTAATACAAGCCAGCCTCTATAAAACTAGCTTACAAACATTTAGCAACTCCGTAATGAAACGAAATTTTGTAAATAAAATTTGCATATGATAATGTGTTTATAAATTACAAATCGTAGAAAGTGTGTGCGCGTACTTGTACATATGTAGAACACAACAGGTATTGCAAATTACATAACAAAATAAGATTATCAAGTCACACCAGCCACCGGCCCCTCGAGAATGTGACCGAATACGAAACAAGTATGCGACGACCCAGTGTACTTAATTGATTGCCAAGCTACTGAGGATAATGCGTACAAGTAGTACGCAATCAACTTATCAGTGAAAGAAGCAAATCTTTCCTTTCGAGATAAAACCTGTACGTGATTGCTGCAAATGGGTCAAGAAAGCGTCAGATCTCTAACGGTAAATCTTATTAAAATGCAAGGCTTATAGATCAGATTTCCTCTTGTCGAGCTTTGACATAACGGTAAGACGGTGAAGCTTAGCTTGTTTAATCATTGAAAATATATATGGATAATATTCCACACACAATAGAACCCTTAGACATGCAGTTGTGGGTATTAGCCCATTACACCATACTACACGATATGCATAATATTTGAACCACAAAAAATGTTTTCTCTACTCACTTTTTTGTCGAATTACCGAGTACGTAAAGATGATGTGTTAAACTACGTTAACGTTTGTGTAATGAATTACAAAACAGTGGTTGCTGTTCGAATCCGAAAAAGAAAGGCTGTGGCGGTGATTGACAGGCGTCGAAGTTAAGTAACTTAGATGCTAATAGAGCTATGTCACTGACCTTCCGAATCCGTTGAACGATGCCGCCTGACTCGCAGAGTGCGACGCGCTAAATCCGTCATTGAACCCGAAAGAAAAAGACTGTGAAGCTGATTGACTGGCGCCTGCCCCATTGGAACTGCCGCTAAAACTTGCAGTCAATCCACCAGTTCCTGATGGGGCAACGTTAAATCCACTCCCGAATCCAAACTTGGGATTCACCTGCCCACCAAATCTGGGTTTCACTGGTCCAAACTTTTTCCCATTCGTCTCATTGGGGAACAATGTACTCGGATCTCTCTCCAAATGCTCTAACACAGGTAGAACGGGAGGAGTAATTATCGGTTCTAGTTTCCTATTTCTGCGCTCATTTGGGAAGACAAACCCGTCGGCGGGTGTCGGCGCTGGTACCACCACCCCCACCACGCCGGCGAAATATAAGCAAGCACATATGATCTTCATGGTTGGGAATATTGGAGATACTATGCGTGACTGCTGATGTATCTTGTATTAATAGGGTCGTACGAGGTCAACCGCGGTGTTGGCATGCGGCACGCGCCGCAGCCTTCAGAAAACCCACTGCGCTGCGCCTGAGTCTACATCCTGTCCTGTACCCATCCCCCCTCTCATCTAAAACTCATAAACCTTTCCTTTTAAGAGTAACGATTTCATTGTTCGTGAAGACAGATGGACGGAAAACTTAGATGGAATAGGCAAACTAGTTGGGAAATCCAAAGTATCCTACCTATCTAAGTCAGATGCGTTTATGGAATCCGAACACGTTGGTTATATAAATAAACAAATCAGTAGAAGAAGCAACAAGTATTACGTTGCAATATGTCCTGATCCTAACTCATTCGTCGTAATTGTTACAACGATGTTGAACTTTAAGTTGGCGAGACGGAGATAGTTCCATAAAAATACCGGTCAGTTCCTAACCCTGCCCTGTAACAGTGTCAGAGACCTCTTGACCTTGGTAGGTCGTTAAATGAGACTTACAGAGAAGATAAGAATGTCACCACGATTTCGTCGGCATGGTGGATACTGGTTGTTCACCTTGATCAGGTTACACAAGGAACGTTAATTCTATCATAGCTAAAACCGGACTCTATGCGATGAAATTCATTTGAAAAATCGCTTTACATTTAATTCCTAGAAGTTTATTGTTGTCTTTTGTTATGTGTTGTACACCTTTTTTTTTTTTTTTTTTTTTACCTACTTTATCTTACTAATACGTATCTGCGTGCATTTAATGTTTTAAGCTTGGGTCTAAACCTATGAAGGTCTTTTTGGAATTCGAAAATAGTCACAATTACTCTTCAAATTTGTTATTCAAGAATTGGCCCTAACCGGATTGTATTCCACTTCGAACAGGAATTCGATCAAGCTTTGATGAGGAGCTGCATATAGTGTTTATTATAGCTCATAGGTAATGCCGATAGTTTATATCTAGCGGTCAGCAGAGACAAATTACTCTACCTGTCATTAGGGCTATGCATCTGTTGACATACCAACATCATCTATAGAATAAAATAATCTTATTCATTCCAATAAGAAGCAGTTTTTTTAAATTGCAAACAGTGTTAATCAACTTAATAAATTGCACGTATAGAAACAACTTGTACGTCGTCCTTATAATTCTCATATCGTCGTGGACGGTGCAATTAAGCGTAACTAGCATTGGATTGTGAGTTTCCATTTCGAGAATTTAGTGGCCAATTCTAATCCGCGTAAATGTCGTGGCCAACAAATTAGCGTGATTTACGGAAATATATTGTTACGAGTGCGTAGACAACACAAATTAATGCTTTCTGTGCAAAAATGAAAGTAGTAGCCATTGAAATAACAAAGTAATAACGTTAAATCCCTCTCCTTTAATATTTGGTTTAGTGCAGATACGCGACTTTTACCAATACCTATATACACGGATTTGCACTGTCCCCTACGATATTTCATCATGTTTCATGTTATGTAGATGACATACGTATGCCCCAAATAAAACCCTCAGGCCTTTTTTCTTCTCATTACAGCCATGTTCGGTAAGGAGTTATTTTTAACCTAAGTTCAAAATTAAAACATTCTCATGAAATGATATTTATACAGATTTTTTTTGCAGTTCACCCACATTTCTTATAATTGATTTTAATTATTTTGTGCGTAATAATTTAGCAATTTTTTTTTTACAATCCATCATGTCTGTATGCGTCTTTGCTTTTTACAATTTTTTTTGCTTTTGTATTACATAATGGAAAAATAGGTGATGATAAAAAAACAAGAAACCCGCCATTTGCAAAATCCATAATCTTGTGTTGTGAACCATATTTATTCATACAAAAAATAAACATTGTAATTATTTACTAGTAAAATTTGTATTTATTTATTAGTAAAAAAATACAAAACTCGAGATATTAAAGCCCTCAGCCTTCGACTTCGGGCTTCTAATAGTAATTTCTTATTTACCGTCCTTTCAATAAAAAATAGTACATAATGTACTATTTTTAATCATCCAGACAAATACACTAATTACGTGGTCTCAAATCAAGAAATTCCCTGTTCTATGAGTACCAGAGCAACAGAATTCACTCCAATGCAGAATATCCCGACCAGTACCAATATAAAAAAAAGTTCATTTTTTTAATTGGTCCTACTGGGAATTAAACCCGGGACCTCCTTGTCCTGCGTCCACTGCGCAGACCGTTGGGCTACCGAGGTTGTCAATAGGTATATTGTTGTGTTGGCGTCGTATGAAAACATCCATACAAAGAAAATGCCATGTATGTACCTGAGCTCAGCCCTGATTAAAGTGTGTGGTTTGTTCGGGGCCACACGTCCTGTGTCACGGCCGTTTTGCAAGTACCTACTTACACTGGTAATCAATTTAATACTTCGAAACAAGAATATTAGGAAAAGGGTCTCTTTCTTCAATAAAATTTCTAAAACTATGTAATATAGTATTTTTGATTAACCACTTTTTACTATTAATTTATACTCGCTTGTTTATCAAGCGAGTATAAATTAATAGCTCTTTCACTCTCTCAGATACCCAGACGTGTATGCTCAGCTGAACAGTGTTGATAGCATCGGTATCTTGGGTGATACCACCTCAAGGGACTAAGACCCTGTACTTGATTGGATAGTACTTAAAAACAATCTTGGGGCATATTTTAAGCGCTGAGTAACGTTTTACTAAGCGGAAATTTGACAACTCTCAAATTATGCGTAATTAATGAATAATCATTGATGTACACACACGAAATTACAGGAACATGAGAATTGTCAACTTATGTCTCAAGGTGACGGGCGCATTTGCACTGCCCCTCAGATCTTTGCGATTTGCAGTCCCACCATTTGATATTATAAAAAATGTAATATTTATTCATAAAGACAATTGGTAAGACCTTAATATCGATAATAAAAATATTGTGATCGATTTTTAAAATACCAATTAAATTCGCAGATGTGCCCTTATTACATCAATTAAATTCATGTAATAGGGGCACTTCTGTAAAATGACAACTTTACGGCAGAGAGGTTTAAAGATTCTACGAAACGAAATTAGTCGATTACTTTTTATGCTTAAATAGGAGAATTATTACATTTTACATAATTACGTAATTTGTTTCATGTACTTCGTATTATTTTTATGCATTGGATGTGATAAAAGTACTTTTGTTTTCAAGAATTCCAAGGACAGTGTTTAAGTTCCATTTTGATATTTTTTGCTAGGGACAGCCTAATTGGACTACACACTCATTGATTAAGACAAACAGATGTTGTAACTATCCAATCCAATAAAGTAATTTAACTTACAAATAAAAATTTCAAATAAGTACTACATGACCCTAATTGGGCCACCATTTTCTATCTAATATCAACTTTCTATGTTAAATAGTTACTCAGAAAATCGGTTGTGACAGAAAGACGGATACTATGAAGTGATTTCTTAATTTCCGTTTGTTCCATTTTGGTACGGAACAGTCGAAAAATGCCGTTTTCGTTACCTTCTTAACAAAAGTGCCGACAGGCATTGTTCAAAGATTTTTTAGTTTATGACTCTAATTTGTGTGCGAATAGGTCCGACATTCAATTCTGTCTGGACTTTAACACTGGATTGCTTACCGTCTAGTGACTCAGTGTCTTTCAAAATTCAGAGCATTTCAACTGTAGTTTTTTGTAACAAGATAATATTCAAATACTCTATTGTGTGATCAAGAAGCTTTAAGAGTTCGTCCAGGAATGTATTGCCACTTTGCCTATTTCTGCTGCTAAGCAGTAATGTGAGCATTACGTTCAGGTTTTAAAGGGTACGGGTGATGGCTGATGAAATTACAGGCACATGGGACTTGTAAACTTATAAATAAAATAATAAATAAATAAATATTAGACAACATCAAATACGTTACTCTGATTCCAAAGTAAGTAAGAAAGCACTTGTGTTATGGGAATCGGAAACAACGGCGGCATCACAAACACCCAAACCCGAGACAATATAGAAAAGTTAGTTTTTCTACATTGACCTGGTCGGGGATCGAACCAGGGACCTCAGAGATGGCGACATCATAAAAGCCGGTGTTCAAGACACGCGACCATCGAAGTTGTCAAACTTATGTCTCAGGGTGACGGGCGCAGCGGCAGTGCTCCTCAGAGCTTGGTGATTTAAAGCTCTGAGTGGCACTGCACTTGTTATGGACAGGCGTGTCGCTTACCACCACGCGCATGACTTGTTCGTTCCATTACTTAGTATCATAAAAAAGTGTTAATCAAATCTAAAAAAGGTTAAATTTCTATGCCTACTAAATTTAATATATTATTATTTGGTCATATTTCTTTTATTTTATGAGTACCTAGGATTACATGATGAAGTGAGCTAAGATATTTTTGTTACAATCTGTGTAACTGCGATTTAAAAAAAAACTTCTGTTTAAGTTGATGCAAAACAAAATAAAATACAAATTTTTAATGAATTTCAAGATCGAACGTCCAATATTATTTCATCGTTTATATAATTTAATCCTAGTCTTAATTTCTAGCATTAAAGTTTTATAGTTTTTTTACTGTCGTAACTCAAAATTGTGAGATTGAGAAAACACAATTTGAAAATTAAAAAAATACTGAATGGATCTTATTGCAAATAATTAATCTCTTCAATTTATACATAATGCATACTTAATTATCAATTTATAAAAGAGAATATTGATTTCATTATTTTTTTATATTTTCATACCGTATTTTTTCAATTCCACAATTTTGAGTTATGACAGTATTTGGTGTCGTGTGCGATATATAGTGATATTATTTTGAATAATCTGTGTGTGCATAGATTCGGCAGTCTCGCTTTTTGCGCCATGTTATCGTGTCAGTTAGTTCTTGACACGAAGCAATGACATTGGGTTGCCTAATCTACACCACGAGGAAGGAATACATAATATCCGTAATACTGTAAGGATTGGCGATCGATGCCTTGTCGATTATGGAAATAAATGAATTAATTTAATTTCGTAATGTGCCTGTAATTTCACCAGCACCCTTACCCTTAAAAACCGTAACGCAGTAATGCTCACTTTACTGCTTGGC